GCGACCTGGTTTTTCAAAGATCTCCTAGAAAAGCTGTTTTAGAAAACACTTCTGAAAAAGTTTCTGCTTATGAAAACATGCCCCCAAGCCTCCGCTTTCTTATGGCGAAAGCCGGAGCTCTCTAGCTGGCTTCTATCAAAAGTTATTAAAAAAACAACGGAGTCCATTCTATTTTGGTACAGACAGTAACAAGTAATAATCGGACTGTATGCGCATATATTAACTAATAGTAGTCGGTTTTCATATATAAATGTGAAACTCGACTTGAATAATTGTATTTAGTTAATTTTACAACCGTTTTGTAGTTACTAGAGACTCAGACAGAATTCATTTCTAAAAGAATCAAAAGACGATACCACGATCGGTTTCGACCTTTCTCAAGGATCTCGTCAGGTGGTTTCCTTCGAGAAAGAGTTAAGACATGACAAGCAACACAACTCCGTCACACCGTATGAGAGTGTTACTATTCCTTGTTCTTATTAAACGATAACTTTCACACGACGAGAAGCACGATATCACTGTACAATGTACATGTTCTGCTTCTCTTCTTACCTTTTCGCCGGGTATACCAAGTAATCTTCCTAATTCTTGAAATGTTATATTTGTATAAATTTTACCAACAGACACAAGATTATGTTCAACAACAGCACGTTCAAGGATTGTATAGCCTGACAGAAAGAGAAAGGCAGTCAAATATTTAATGAAATTGAAGTTTTTAATTTTATTCCGAACCATCAGCTGTTGTTGCTTTTTGATGAACTGATAACAATGCTTCAAATTGTTTTGTATCTTGAGGACTTATGATTCGTTCCAAATACCTAAAATAATAAATTTCAAATAATTAATGGTAAAAAATGACGAAAAACGTTTTATTTTTTCATACGATAAACACTACTCTTAATAGAAATGAGAATAATTAACTGCATAATGCAAAACACTCATAGTTTTATTCAACCTTTCTTTGCGTTAAGTATTCTCATAAGCATAGAACTATCTCTAAATCTGATGAAAGTATGTCATATGTCATGAAGTAAGCGTACAATACATACATTTTATTTAACATTGAATATGCTTGTGATCTTTGTGTTCGTTCATCTTTGAACAATGTTCCAAGCATTCTCGAACGATGTGGTCCAGCTGGAGCTAATATAGCGCAAATCAATGCATTATTTAACGCTCTTAAACGTTCATCAGCACTAACAATCGATTTCAAAGATAATTCATTATAACGTTGCGCAGCTTCGATAAATTTACGTTTATAATCAAGGATTCGAGCATAGCAAGCCTAATAAATAAACATAATTAAAGAAACTACGATTAGTTCGTGTTCTCCAAAAGACATTACAAACAGAATTATTTCTCATTCAGACACATACTTTGTACAATATTTGCAATTCTTCATTTTTTGTTTCACTTTGTAGTAATGACGCTCGATTAATGTAAGTTTCAGCTTGTACCGAATCATCGTCTTCCAAATATAACCGAGCTATACGTAGATACGTTTGTAATTTATATTCAGGTGTCAACGGTCTAAATAAAAAAATTAAATGGAAAATAGTAAAATGAAACTCGAAAAAGCAGTCATAACTTACTTTTGAGCTGTTTCTAGTGGTATATTGGATAAAACTTTGCCTGCTTCTCGCCAATTTTTTTCACGTTCATATAAATCAGCAAGAAAATGTCGATATAATCCAACCTAAATAAAGAAATGAAACTCAAATAAAATCATGAAGATAAAATTGTCTTCTGATGAAGATTTGGTAACTGCCAAAACTGATTATGCATTACCTGATCTTCGAATGAAATAGCTCTTGAAGCTATTCTGTCGAGTGCATATAATGCCAGTTCTTTTGCTTGTTCAAGCAGAAGCCGATTAAGAAATGTACAAACATCCGATAACAATTGACGTGAGGCAACAAGAACAATACGATCATCAACGACTAAAATAAACAAGAGTGTTTTAAGATTGAAGTTCCAATTGATTGTTCGCTTCATATTACCTGCATCAAGAAACCGTTTCAAATTGTCAACTGTATCAGCTTGTTCAGGATTTTTTGTTATTTCATCAAAGATCTGTTTAAATCTAAAACAAAAGAAGCATCAAACAATGGTGAATTTGGATGCATTTTTTCCTTAATTCACTTACTTATCAATAACATCTTTGTGTGACAATCCTTTTCCAGCTGCTTGTTGTAGTTGTTCGAGTATAGCATTGCTTGCCATCGCAGGTATTCGTTTGTTATACGAAATATAATAAGAATAATCTAAATATACATACTTACAGTTAAAATCATTCGAAAACAGGAATGTTTGTTAATATAAAGTTAGGAAAGAATTATTTATCAGAGTTTCTTCAGATATTGTCCTATTGTAAAGCTTTTCTAATGTTACAATAGAACTTTTTATACTTTAACGTTCGAACATGACTAGCAAAAACGAAATAACTTTTGACGACAGTGTTGTCTATCTTTTGATGTATTTTCAAATAGAAAACTAGAGCTATATTTCTGAATTTATACAAACTCCGACTGAAAAGAGAAGAAAACTGGGGTAAGAAACTGGAATGACTGAAAGTTATTAGATCGGTGCTGTTTTACTCAATATAAATAATCCGTTATAAATGGTTATGTACAAAACCTTTCGATTTCACATTAAGAGATACAGAACGGTCATAGTGATTAGTTACCTCATATCTGCAGAAAACAATGCGTGCTACTGTTTGATGCCTAACGAAAGTTAATTTTTAAAGTCCAAACATACACAAACGTTAAAATTTATTCAAACAGTATTTCACAATGAAAAAACGCTTTACATTCGCTAATCATTAATCAAAGAATAGCAGAACAAAAAGGAAAGTTTTCGACTAAATTTGATACTTCACTAATATCAGTATAAGATACTTTTGCAGTTGTTCAATATACTATAATTCAATTATTTTTTGCGCGTTCAAACGCGAGCGAGAAAAAAAGACATCTTTTTATGTCATGTCAAATAGGGACTTTTTTAAGATTTCAATTGCTCGAAACGATTTGTCCAATGAATACCGAATTATATGACGGATTATACTAATTTTTTTCCTTTTTTTCAAAACTTGCCAATAGCCATCTATAATAGGAAAAATTAATTACGAATTGTTCCCTGCTGATCATCAAAGATAGATCTTCACAGCCACTCTTTACACTTTCACGTTGACAGTGGCACTTGATGGTAAGCGAGAAACAAGGTTGCTAATATTACGGAAAAAAAACTTGGAATGAAAGTCAACTTGATTTGGGTATCAGTATTATTTCAGTAAGTCTGTTCGCTTATTTGAGTCTTCACAAAGTGTTTAATTCAAGAGAATTCTCGCGTCAAAATGTTGTCAAGCGGCATTTCTATAAACAACTACATAACCAGGGATGCCAACTAAAAAAATAGTATAGGAGGACAAATTTTGGAAAAGGGGGACTGTTTTTTCTACAAAGGCGAAGAACAGAAAACATTATTGTCCATGCGATGTCAAAACATTATTTGTCGCGCGATGTCATGGGAAAAATTCAAGGCACTTGAACAGGGTTGCCAACAATTCTGATTTTGGAGGTTTTTTCTGATCGCTTTCTGATTTTTAACTTTTTTAATTAGTGCTAGACAAGATAGTTTTATGAACTGTAAAAAATACAACAGTTTTCTTCTCCAAATACAGTCGAAGTTGAATTTCTTCTATAAACTATCCGGGACAAAGAAAGAAAAAAAAGAGCCAAGTGAGGATCAGTTTAAAAAAAAATTAAGATATACCCGTCTTTCCTGTGTTTTAGGGAAAAAAATACGTCTTCTGATTTTTGACACTTTGTTTTTCTGATTTTTAGATTTTTTTTCTGATTTCTGAGGTCTTGAGTTGGCAACCCTGCATTTGAGTATATTCTTTTATTCTGATTTTTCTAATATTACTATGTCAAAACATAAAATTTAAGGCAAATATCTTTTGTTACACTAAAACAATAAATGATCAATTTAAACGTAATTTTTTACTTCTATGTACATATTTTTCACTTCCACGAATACTCTTGAGAAGTTCTTTGTTATTTAAAATCAAAGAATGAAAATTAGTATACGTGTTCGTATTCATTCTAATTCTCAATTCTGCGTTCAGTGCTTTTTCGTATGAGAAATCTCGAAGGGGAAAACAGCTGATTTTTCGATTTAAATCGCCCAAAACCCGTAGAACTCATTGAAAGTTGGTGAAAATCGAAAAATCAGCTGTTTCTCCCTTGCAAATCTCACATAAGAAAAATTACCAAATGCTCAAGGTCTGTTGAACTGGAAGTGTAATAGAAAAGTGAAAAGTCCAGTGAAGACGGTCAAAAGAAAATATCCTTGAAAAGGGGAACATCCTGGCGGACAAATCTTTAAATGTGAGACTGCCCCCCTTATGGGGGGACATCTGACAACCATGTACATAACACTCTTTCGATCTTCTATAGTCCGATCTATTTAAATGAAAATAAACTGCAGAACTTGATAGAGATACTACGTATTCTCTGGTAATGTAGATCGCAATAACTAATCTCGAATTTAATTGAATTTAAATTACTCTTCCTATTTCACTAACTAATACTTGTGAGGTTTCGTCAACGATGTTGACTTCAGGGTTCTCAGATGTTCCCCATTCGACCATTTTGTCGCCCAGTAAATAAATCTCTCATGGGGGACATATTTCGTCCTCACTGTCAATTTATTTGAAGTCCTACTACTTCAGCGTCATATTTGAGATGAACAGATTGGCGGATTATTATATAATATGCAGCCTCTTTAGCATATCTTGTCATAAAGATCATTATCATATAGGTGTTTGGATAGTTTGTCACAAATAGAGTTATTATGAGATTCGTGAGCCGTCCCCCAAAACATCACCCTTCCTGTCGTGCGCGTCCCACAGTTTATCAGACGTGTCAATCACACGGCGAGTTTTTACTTCTGAGTGTGTGGTAGCCTCTCGTATGCATTTTCTCGAGATCTCGGTTTTCATCTGATCACGTTATCACTCTTTGAAAATATGGTTCGATCTAGCCGAAATTCTGACCACAGATACTTGAGATCCTATTCTAGATTCTGAATATTTTAGAAAGAAAAATGCTTTCTTTCTTAAAATATTCAAAAAATCTCCACATACGATTTTCTAAAACAATCTGTCTGTTAACAAAAATGGTAGACAAATGAAAACAAGCATGAACATCAAGAGAAATATCTGAATATGATGTTGTCTAATCATTTTTTTCTTCTTGCATAAAATAGTGCAATAGAAACATTTTTGTATTTGTGAATATCTATCAGAATTTCATTTCAAGCAACGTGTGACAGTACTTAAACTCCAAACAGTGGTTTTGACATGTGATTTATCCGAAATGTTAGGCAGACGTGTTATAAAAAAATTACAAAAATAATGATAAATCAACATATACAATGATCTTCAGTAAAAAATAGCGAACAGATGTATTCAAATCTTAATCTCTTACTAGGGCTGTAGCCGTTCACGTTGATTTGGCAAACTTTTCAAGGGGAACGGCGACGGTTTTGCCGTTGATGTTGTGAACTGTCAACGTAAAATATTATGCCATTATATTAGAGTTCAGTATAAGTAGCGAGATACATCATTAATCATCTTAAGTAGCTTCTCCTCAGGAGGAAACATAATTGAAGAAAACAGGCCAAAAAACGGAAAAAAACATAAATTTCTTAAATATTTTTGGTAGTATAATAGACTTTATAAAAACGAAGAAGACATACTTCCGATGTCTAGCTATTATATGTTAGGAAGTAAAAGTTGACACGAAAGATTAGAACTCGACTCTATTTAATCTGATACCTATAAATTTGGAGACAACTTTTGGAGTGCATATACAATTCATAAGTGAATAAGGAATTTGTATATGTAGAACTGTAGACGAGAAAGAATCAGACAAGAGATCTTCACCCAAATCACTCTTTCCCTGAAAAAATGAAGATGTCATTCATTTAAGAATCTTAGTTCAGTGGATTTCGACTGATAAAAATACCGTGGATCGTTCGGAACGTCAACTGATAAACCGTTGACAGTTGAGAACGAAAACCGCTACGGTTACACCTGTAATCTCTACTTTTGTGTTAACATTTTTATCTATCTACATCGTCTTTGTCTCCCTATATTAATAAATAGGAATGACTACTTTACAACAATGTGTCTGTCGAAAAATGTTTTTCACACAAATTTATATCACACGGTGTGATATGAATTTGTCGATAAAATCTAATTGAAAGGAAAAATCTATTGTTTGAAATTTGAAAAATTACCTTTGAAAGAATGAACTCTAAATTCCAACTATAAGAAGAAACGACAGTGTAATTCTAACAATAAATGGTTAAAAAATTCACAATATTAATTTTAATTTATTTGTAATATGTGACTTTAGTTGAGCTCATTAGGTATTTTAGATTGACATGACGTTATTTCGTTAAAATAAGCGTCCCCCATTTTGTCTCCCATTCGGACCTTTCTGTCCCACATTCGAAAAAAATAATTTGAGACCCCTGGTTGACTTCATCATAGGAAAAGTAATTTAAATTCAATTAAACTTCAATGACCTTCCACAAGCGCAGTTACAGTTTCACTTACAAAATAGTCATGATCACTTGCATTCCTTTTCCATAATGCTAACGGAAGTATTTCCATTATAGTATTCTAAAACTTATATTTTAATATACTTAAACTATCAAAAATCATATAATAAATTTTACACGAGTAGTCGGACAAACAAACTGAAATTTGTAGAAAAATGCAAAAACTAAATTCATTATTCTGTGTCTGTATGTTGTGCAATCGATTCAATGTTTCCAGTGTTATTTTTTTATTGGAAAAAACATTCTTCTATGAACACAGACTAAACAAAAGTGTAGTTATATGTTTGTAAAATGACAGCGCAGAAGTCAAGAATGGAGCATTCTGGCTGTATCTTTGGGACCATTAATACATGTGTGTACGCGTGTACCGCTGTAAATATTCTGCGAAAAAATTGTGTTACCTATCAAATGTTTCCAACGTCTTCAGAATCAATACGATTAGCATTTTCTTTGATATTTCATTCGGTATTATCAGCGCTGTTTTTTTACTTGTTTGATAGGATACAATATCTAAGTAGATGTCGTCTTGGTTTATTCGAAGAAAAAAAAAACAACCTAGCATTACATGCTCACAGAACAAATGTTTTAAAATTCACATGTTCAATAAAATAAATAATTTTTGTTTTAATCATTTGCACCGTCGAATGCTACGTTTGATTCTGGTTGAACAAAAAATGCTCCTTCATTAGCATATCGTCTAAATTTTAAATACGTTACATTGCCCACTGTATTCTGAATATGTGCTTGAAGTTCTTCATTTTCTTGAGAGCATAAAGATTTTATAATTTGATATTTCGATTCTTTTCCTGGTTTTTCTCTTTCACTTTGTCGATTTAATAGATATTCAATAAAACCTGGTTCGTTGCTCATCGCATCAATAGCCCATTTAGAATAGGTCATATTCAAGAAAACTTTGTGTGAAGCTAAAAATATAAAAAAACAGTTTTATAACAATAAATTAGATGTATAAATAAGATATTTATAAAAATGAATTTTATCTACCTAATCTTAGATCAATAAATGGTTGCTTTGCTATTTGTGTAAGTAATGTTAGTAATGCATAGGTATGATTACAATGTGTATAAATTTTTTCTGTCACTTCCCATCCAAACTGATTTCGTTCATTTTCTTTTAAATAAAATAGATCAGCTAAACATAACATAGATCGTACACGTATATCTGATTGATAAGAACGAATCATTTGTATTAGTTTTTGAATACAATCAAAAAATTTTGTTTCCATATTATTCACCATATATCTTTTACCAACAAACGTTTTTCCAATAAAACCAATTGTATCTAAACTAATAAAAGTCAAAGATGTTTTTTGCATGTCTGATAGTAATAGAATATCAAATAAAAATGGTATAAATCGATTAAATAATTGAATATTTGTTGAACTTGGTGTTGTTGTATCCCTAAAATGATACTAACATTAAAATTCGTTTTTCATAAATCTTTCAAGACTACTGAAGTTAAGTAAAATGCAATTAAAAGAAGATAGAAAAATCATGATAGATCAGAGTTGCCAGATGTTCCACTTTCGATGAGATTGTCTCAATTTCTGTGAAGAAATCTACCGATCTCAGTATCAGTCACTCGTCTCACTGTAGGACACACTTTTTGACTTTTTTGCCTCACTTTGTGCCTTTTTGTTTTCTGTTTCTTCCACAAATGTGAAATTTTTTTAAAATATCCTTTCAGTCTGAAAAGTGAACGAGATAACAGTGCGTGTGGTGAAATGAGCACGTCAACAGTAAAAGCAAAGCTTTTATCATCATCAAAATGAAAAACGAAAGTTTTCTGTTGTGAATGAGTTCATAGAGTTCACAACACATTTACGCTCACTTTTCTCGCGTAAGCTGGATGCTGTTAAATTAACTCTAAGATCAACAAGGATCCCATGTCTGTTCCCCAGAACGGTTTAAATTATTTTGCAACTTCAGCATGCTTCTTCAAGGAAATTTTGAAACTTTCAAGATCAATCCCATCTATTTTTAACATCCATAATACTAAAAGTCTAAAAGTTCCACAAAATTGATTTTGATCGGAGACTCTCAGAATTTATCAAAACCTTAGGTAAATCTCATAAAATTTTATATTTTTCTATATTACGCGATGAAAACCATTTTTCGAGAAGTTTTGACTTTAAATAGTAGATGTGCTGAAAACAGATGGAAATAACCTTGAAAATTGTAAACATCTGCGAAAAAAACGATGCAGAAGTTGCATAAAACATAAAAATCCACACCGTTGTACAAATTACCCTACGCCTTTTCGTGAAGTAGAGTATCGTTTTAGTAGTCGAAGATTGTCGTGTATAATTCCACACATAAATCCTTTTATAAAAAGGAGTTTTTGTGTATCTTTATACTTTGTTTGCGAAAAACATAATATGTTAGAGAAAACTGCTGTAATAGATGAAGTGTCGCTCTTTACTACTCTATTCAAGCTTTTTTTTACTCATTAAATTACATTGTTGTTTGTTCCGATATTAATTGCATATAATTTCTAATATAACATCCAAATAGTTTAATAAATGCTGGTTTTAATAGATCATCGTCATTTTCCATTAATAAACGTAGAAAATGATCCATAATTGTTGTTTTATTTTGTAAATAATCGAGTGTATACAATTTTTCTGTTAATAATGTCAACAGTTCAATACAGTTCATTAGAAATAATACGTCTGAATCTGAATGTAAACAATCATAGAAAAATTGTGATAACAATTGATGTTTATCATTAACAATAAAATCAAAAATCTTGAAATCGAGTAAACACAATGATATTAAATATTCATAAAGACGTAGTTTAATTACTACATCTTGTCGATGACCTGATTTAATAAGTTCAATATTTTGTGGATGAAAATACTGTTGAGCTAGATAATCAAGCACCACTTGATCATCAGAAATATTGATTAAATTCTTAATCATTTGTTCCAAAATCGATTTTGATCTAAATAAAAAAGCGAAAAAATAACATGGATTAGATACAAATTAATGTATTGGTTTGGAAAAAAGAGCTAGTCATTTAATTTTTTTGTGCTGTAAAGGGGGTAACGACAAATCATCGAACGTATTTTCATCGAACGACATTTCATCGACAACATTTCGTCGAAAGATTTTTCATCGCACGGACTTTTCATCGCATGGACTTTTCGTCGAGCGACTTTTCATCGAAAGGTTTTCATCGCATGAACTTTTCATCGAATGACATTTCGTCGCATGAATTTTCCTAGATAACTGAACGATAACCATAAAGTAAATAGACGCACAAGAATAACTGAAAAAGTACTATAAGGGTCGAATTTTTCCTCAATATGATTTAGCATTTTGGAATATAAATATTCGTATAACAGATGGTTTGGTACGAACAACAAACGGGGCTGAATCATGGCATGCTCGTTTAAAATCAATATTTAATTGTGATCATCCATCTATGTGGAAATTCATTCAACATTTACAACACGAAGA